TAACATGTTAACAGGTGTTTATTTTGTGAGTTTCATACTCGTGTTAACCAGTCTTATGCTAAAACTTTGAAATATCTGGAAAGAAGAATTCAGGACAGAGTTGGTTAAGAGAATATTCATCGGTGGTCTATGCTCCACGAGGGATAACAAGCGTAAATAATTAAATCGGAAAACTAGATAAATCCTAACCAACAAAAATGATTTTCATCAATTTGTTACAAATTGAATCAGTTCAACAGAGTGAATTTCTAAATACTAACTATACAGTTAAATGAATGATTACTCTCGTAAGATCTTGCAAACTTCCCATAGATTGTTAGGATATCCATTAAATATCCTAAAGAAATTATTTTGTAAGTCTAATTCTATTGGTCAATATTTAAGGTCGTCCTAAACTGTCAAGTTCATATAATTTTATATGTTCTCTCTTATTGGTTAGTATTCAAGGTCGACCTGACTGTATAAATATGCATCGTCTGTAAAGTTTTATGCTCCTCTTTCTTCTTCTTCTGTACAAAACCTCATATTTTCTGGATGCTTGTAATAGAATACTTTTTCTACACCATATCAAGACTTCTTCTACTTATTGAGGCTTTGGGACGCTCAGATTAGAGTAGCCTATCATGTCGATGGGGATCATTTGTCTTTGTTCTCGTTTATCGAATAAGGTGCACTAGTGATAGTTCAAGTATATCATCAGTTGACGTGTAGTGCCTCCACATATATTCCAGTTCGCTTACATTTAATTTGGTTAAGCTGTTTCGATTAATTTATTTAACCAAGCCATTTGTATTGCAACAGTTTATATGTACCATTCGTTCTTATTATTGTCTGGTTTCTGTATGAGCTCACATGATGTGTCCCACTTGTCATTTGACCTTGTCAATCATTCGTCGCTTTTATTCATGTGTGACTATTTCGCTTGTCGCATGTCTGTCTTATATATATATATTTTTCTGACTATATAGCCTTAGTCACGCTCTATCTCTTTGAGTTGGCTCATTAGCCTTCTCCAATTCACGTCGCTCCTTACGTTTTATTCGCTGCTTCTCCAATTCGCTTTGTGGTGTGTCCTAAATAAACGTATTCATCACTACGAGTTCACCTTCTGATTTATAAACTGTCAGACACCATTTAGTAACGATTGTCTGGACGAGCTAATTACCGAGCTTAAGAACCCGCAGTAAATTGACTCACGACAGACGAGCACAACATACGTAGGAACAAAGCCAGTTTACAATAACAACCACAAAGAAAATTTACTTACTTGTTAAAGAATTGTTATATGCACACGAACTCAATGGATCATCATATAACTGTTTGGAATCATTACTGTGATTATTATTACTATTGTTATTATTATTGATTGATGACAGTGACAATAATGAACATGAAGATGGAATTTCTTCTGCTTCTAATAAATTAGTCACGTCTTTATCATTATGACGAAAATATTGACGTAGACCAGTGTTAGTGACACGTTTCATTGTTGGAATGAGAATGGATTTTTTTGGAATAATAACTGAATGATTATGATGATGATTATTATTAATATTATTATTGTAATTGTGATTATGATTATGATTACTAATAATACTACTATCATGATTTATTTGAGTAGTTTTTAGCGGTTTACTAAATAATTTTGATTGTAGATAATTAATTTTAAATTGATTTGAATGAGTATTGGATTCATGCAGTGATGATGGTGGTGTACAATGAGTAGCGTTAGTAGTAGTAGTAGATGTTGGTGGCCATAAAACAGTTCGACTATCATTGAATATTGAAGAAATTCTATCAATATTATTTATACTACTATTATTATTGTGAGTAGTATTAGTAGTATGACTATTGTTGACAAATCCAGTGAAATGATTTCTTTTCAATGGGATAATAAACCAATCATGTATATGATTAAAAGCATTATTAGTCATACTTTTAAAATGTCTTGTATCGAAATGATAATTTGTTGTTTGTGTCAATAATCGATGATGATGAGTTTTATTCCATAAAATAAATAATAATACTATGACACCGATTGTAAGTAGTATAATCGATATAATTATTGATATTGGATTGTGAGTGATGAACTGAAATTCAAAGTATAAGAGTCAATATGATTAAAATGAAAGGGAAAAATAGCATAAAATGTTTTGTTTTGTTAAGTAAACAAAGAGTATTAATCAAGTACAAATTTTATGTGTCAAATGTTTACCATTTAAAGGGTGATTGACATTTTGCTAGTAGCCGCATTGGATTCTAAGCGCAGGGCTCACTACATCTGGTGGCGCGCCAACTGACTTTGATATTTACGAACTACTATGTATGCTATGAAATAAATCTTTCCTTCAGTTGACGTTATATCATACTTAGGTGAACCGCGTTTGTAAGACGACGGTAATAAGGGGCTATATACGAATTCGAATGGATGAATTTATTGCAGGTAATCATTCACTCAGATAGACATGAGAATATAGAATGCATAAGCAAAGCAAAGAGAAGTGAAGTGGAGAAAGCGAGTGAGCCATATCAATGTGATGAGAAATAGTTAGTCATATTCAGGCGAAAACAGACTAGACATATGATAAGCGAGCTAAGCGGCACACACATACACACACACTCTAATATAAATGTTGATTAAAAGTGAAAAATTAGCAAGGTCAAAAGACGAGTGAATAATAGTTATTCGGACCGAGTAGATGAATGAGTTAAACAGAAAGCTAGGACAAGCCCTTTAGACGCTCAACATAATGGTACACACATTACAATCTCTTGTCAAAGACGAAACTATTTATAATCGCTAGTAGCCAGTGGATACTGGATCACTGTCATATTTATATTAAATCATTTGAATGCTGATTGAATACTTACTGGCCAGAGCAAAACATGGCAGAAATCCATGAAGTCATTGACAAGTGGACTGAGTCATGTCGATAGTTGTCGACTATCTGGTTGGGGTCCACGGATGATAATAATCGATGGTTAGAGACCTTGAATGACGGCTCAAAACCGTTTGCAATGGCGCCGGTGCATTTCTTCTTTGTGTTCTCTCGAATCCTAATCTCCTGGATTCTTCAGAACCTCTAGTTTTGTCTTTCTATACTTATCTCACTGAATCATACTTCTTAAATAATATCTTCTAATCCTAACCTCTTCGATTACTTCTGATACCTTTACTACCTCTTCTACTATTGGATTTGAATTGACAATTCGATCTCTCTGGGCTAATGTGGTATGGCAACATGAACTGATGTACTTACGTACGATGTTCTACGTTGCATCTGACTGACTGAGTGACTGATTGAATATTATCGATCAGATTAAGCCATGATAATGAAAAGATTCATTTCCCCTAAAAATTAATCAATAAAAAAGCTGACAAGATATAACTTACATAATTAGCACCGTCATTGTCAGCATCAGTAACACCATCCTCACCATCAGTAGTAGTATCGTATGGACATGATTTGATCAAGTCTAAAATCGTCTGATTCCATATTGGAGGTTGCCAACCACCAATACAACGATCACCAGGGATTAAACGATAACCTAATTGATGAATAGTTTGACGTTGTTTCCTCGGTAATGTACAAGGATCCAATGGTGGAATATATGGATTTCGTATACAATTCAATGATCCCGGTTGACGATAAAATCCATATTCACTAGAAAAGAAAATAAAGCAGATCACTGTTGCAAGTGAAAGAATTAATTTTAACGGAAAAAAAGGGTCCTCGAGTTCAGATCCTGCGAGGTGCAAGGGTTGTGATGGTGTGGTGCGCGCTACTTATAAGTAGTATACGACGAGAGTGAAAACGTAATGTCTGGCAGCAGAAGATGGGGGAAGATCAAGAAAGGAAGAGTGGGAGGAACACAATGGAATTTGTATGAAACGCATGAATAAGTGAAATGTCAGACTATGGACTGATGATGGATTGAAGATTTGCAAATTAACGATTTACGATATGGTTTTCCTATTTTACTGAGTAACTGTGTAATTTTCGTTAAATACAATTCGGTTGCCTTCACCTGTGTTCTCCTTCACTACAATGGTAGCGCATTGTTGATGAGTCCGACATCAGGAAGAAACGGCCGTCTTTCAGTTCTTTCAGGTTTTTAATGATGACCTAACACAATGATCGATGCATGACTTCAATGAAACTCAACAATCGCCATAATTAGAATTATGAAGATGTGCTTACTAGTGTGACTAGAATTGGGAGGAAATTTTCAGTAATCTAGTGAGAAGTGTTACGCCTAAACGTAAACACGTCAACTTGATATACTTGAACTATAACGAGTTTATCTAGTCAGAAAATGAGAGCGAGGATCGAGGATCCGGTGACACGACATGCTACTCAAATCCGATTATCCCAACCCCCATGTTTAGTAAAAATAAGACGTGATATGAAGTAGAACCTATATTCCACAAGCATCCAGAAAGTACGAGGTCCGAGTCCAGAAGAGAATCAGGATTCCGGACTAGGGATCTGGGACCGGGACCGGGTCCTGGTCCTGGTCATCAAACGTTACAGATAATGCCTATTTATACATTTGGGTCGAATGGGAAACAGCATCGAAGTCTGTGGCATTGACAGTTAAGGCGACCAATAGGAAGTTACATTTGAAGTGACATTGATAGTCAGGACAACCAATAAGAAACAACATTGGAGCACGTGACATTGATGTCTAGGACGACCATAAAATTGACCAGTAGGAATTAACCAATAGGAATTGGCCAATAATTCTCTTAGGATATTGGATGAATATCCTAACAAGAAGCCGTGACTAGTGGAGTTCAACTGTATTGGGTGTGAGCTGATTCTCTATTGACGACAATGTTTGAGTTTGAGCGATACCATTAGGCTCATCAATAAAGTTAGACTTTCACATCGTTGGATCCCAGGTCAGTGGTCTAGAGGTTGAGAGATTGCGTACGACACCAAAAGTCCTGGGTTCGAATGCTACGAGTAGCAGGAGTAGTGGATGTGCACTGCTGATAAGTTCCATACAATGTTTTATGAATGTTGGTTAACAAGTTTTTTGTTTTAGTTTTGTAATTTATTTAATTGAAATTTGAATATTTCCTTTAAATTTTGACGCCGCAAGCGCCTCTTTGGTTTGTGTTACCAACTTGAAACGATCTGAAACTTTATTGGTTAGTTTTCAATTTCCTATTTTGCTATTTTGTACTATTTGTACTGTATATTCTACGCTTGAATCGAGTGCTTGCTCTTCGTTCGTTTTTTTGCTGCTTGTGTAATATATATCTACCTGGTTGACTCTAGACTTCTTGCTTTGATTATCTGGGCCAAGGCTCAATGAATTAGCTTCACTTGTTCAATTATTATACCGCTAGTTAAATGTTTCATTTGCTGATACTAATTTCTGACTTAATTAATTTAAGCTTGGCAGAAGTGAATTCTTTTAAAGTTAAATCATTAGTAAGATTGTGTCAGTGTTGGGGGCGTTAGATTGCCAGAACTAGCTTGATAAATGCCTTAATTTTGGATTTTATGTTTCCGAGCATGACCTTGAGGTCTCATTTCCAACCAGGAAAATTCTTGGCTGTGATTGGTTATTGTGTTATTTTAGTGTGCGATTTTTGTGACTCTCCCAAGGACGTTTCTGCGTTGTATAAATAAACGAGATTTGTGTGCTTGAATGCATTGTGCTTGCTAGGTGTTTGTAGAATATACTTGCTAAGCTATATCAAGACTTCTAGTTAGCTGTTTTGCGGACAACTGACCAAAGTAGCCTACCTGGACGCTGATATATTGTCTCATTCTCGTTTATCGACTAAGATGAACGAACCCTGTTGGGGATGTTATATCCCCAGATTTAGGATTTATTTCATGGGCCGATCAGTTGACCTTGAGATTTCACTTGCCACCAGGAAAATCCTTGTCTGTGATTGGTTACTGTGTTATTTTAGTGTGCGATTTTTGTGACTGTCTCAAAGACGTCTCTATAGAGTATAAATAAACGCAATTTGAGTGCTTGGATTCATTGTGTGCTGGCTAGGTGTTTGTAGAATACAATTTCTACGCTATATCAAGACTTCTTACTCACTCAACTCAGTCAAGGGATCAGAGTAACCTACGTGGACGCTGGTTCATTGTTTTATTCTCCTTATTCGTCTAAGGTGAACTCGTAATAGTTTAAGCATATCTAGAATCGAGCATAACAAACCCGTAATAGTTTCAAGCAAACATAAACTCAAAGCATCACTTTTTAACAAAACAAAGGAAAACATATTTACCATTCATAATCTGCTTGTGTACATGGACAAAATTCTATTTGTACACGTGTTTCCATTTCATATTCATTTGTACAACTGAAATTCAAGATGATCATGATAAATAATAAAAGTGAAAAGAAAAAACAGAATATTTTCAATGAGAAAAGAATAATATTACTTATTTACTTACTTACTTACGCCTGTTACCCCCAAATGGAGCATAGGCCGCCCACCAGGTTTCTCCAATTGAATAATGAAGAACACATTCATAAGATAAAGTTTTGTTGATTTATACAGGTTTGTATTTTCTGTTTGTGGATGTTAAGGATTGTAAATGATCAGTGTTTATTGAAATAATTGAACTGTATGCGGATTAACTCTCGACCCCCCATTTGGTCTTGTGTACTTTTGCGGGTACATTTTGCTAATCAAAGGAGGAGTGTACTGCACTGCAGTTCACTTAGAAATTCTATACAGGTGTAAAATAAAGCCAGTAAGAGTAGAGGATATTCGAAGGTTGCAGGTTTTCGAATCATTGCTCCTGTATCATAGGACCACCGAGAAAGCAATGTTGTTGTTAGGAAATGAGTACTAAGTAAGGATGGCAGATCATTAGATGAAGTAATGAAACCCCCTCAGTAGAGGTGGTTGGGACATGTGTTACGAATGCCTAACCACCGACTGATTCAACGAGCTATGTATTGTGGTGTAGGAGAAGGTTGAAAGAAAACCAAAACATGACAGAAATCCATGAAGTCACTGACAAGTGGACTGAGTCATGTTGATAGATGTAGGCTATCTGGTTAGGGTCCCCCAGATGATAGTAACCTATGGTTAGGGACTTTAAATGACATGGCTCAAAATCTTTTGTAATGGCACAGATGCAGTCACTCCTTATCTTCTCTCTTATTCTAATCTTCCGAATTTCTCATCACCTTTCTCACCTTTTTTAAATTTATTTTACTGGATTAAACTCCTTGAATAATATCTTTAATCCCTAATGTTCTTCATTACTGCTAATACTTCTACTATATCTACTCTTATGGGATTTGAATTGAGGATTCGATCTCATTGTGCTAATGTGGAATGGCATCTAGAACTGATGTACGTAGGTAAAAATTTCAACTTTGCATCTGAGTTACTGACCCACTTACGCCAATATTTTCATTAGGTCACCGGTTTTTACTAAAGTTATACAGCGTTTCGTCCGATTTAGAACTTGTCATCTGAATGTAACTGCATCCCAGTGTTGATATTGATATTAAAACCTGAACCTAATGTTTACCGCTTCAAACATCAAAGCTCCATCTACTGAGCTGTCTTGTTCAGATGGCCATTAGCTTGTGCAACAAATATCAATTTCTTTTATTTGTAAACTTTTTCATTTTCCTTGCTTACTTACTTACTTACGCCTGTTACCCCCAATGGAGCATAGGCCGCCCACCAGTTTTCTCCAACCAACTCTGTCCTGAGCTTCCCTCTCCAGTTCTGTCCAATGTTTGTTCATTCCTCTCATATCTTTCTCTATATCACAGCGTAAAGTGTTCTTCGGAACTTCCTCTTTTTTGTAACCTTGAGGGTCCCAAGTGAGGGCTTGTCTTGCGACCGCTTCTTCCTGATTCGCTTCTCCGTTGGAATCTAGTTTGTTCTCCCCCTTAGTAGGTTGTTGCTGATAGTGTCTAGCCAGTGAGTCCGAAATATTTGCGTAGACAACTGTTAATATATACTTGTTTGTTCTGCATGATGGCGTTGGTAGTTCTTAAAGTTTCCGCTCCATACAGTAGAACTGTCTTGACACTTGTATTGAAAATCCTGATTTCGGTTTTGGTTAATAGTTGTTTGCAGTTCCAGATTATTTTCAATGGTAGAAACCCAACCCTTGGTTTGCTGCTCTACGCCTTCCCACCTGCATCGGATCGACCTTGGTTGTCGATGATGCTGCCAAGATATGTAAAGGTTTTAACGTCCTCCAAGGCATCTTCATCAAATGTGAATCGGTTGGCGCATGTAGTGTTGTATCGGAGAATTTTTCTTTTTCCTTTATGTATGTTGAGACCTGCTGCTGCAGAAGCTGCTGCTGATGTCTTTTTTTAGTGACAATGTCTGCAGGCCTATGTGCGTCCTGAGCTGATTTCTTCGATGTTATTACGTAACTGTAAGTTTTCATTTGATCAACATCAACACTTTTATACAGATACATTCAGTTGATGAATAATAATTAAGATGAAACACACTTTCTGAATTAGCCACTATGTCACATTAGTGTTACCATTTGCTATACATGTGAATTTGAATGAACAGTGTCTGTTGAGGTCTTCAATGCAGTTTCCATTACAATGTTAAAATATTTTCAATTAGAGTTATGGAGATTAGTGTTTTCACACATTTAAAATCAATAATCATTCATTGTTAGACCATCAATATGTGCTCACTAGTAGCTAGCTACATGAGAAAATTCTCGGAGTACTAGTGAGAAGACGTGACCAGTGGAATTCAACCATGTCGGGTGTAGGGCAGTAATTGCTACAGGCAAAGGAGTGAGGTAGCGCAAAATCCCTAGATCAATCAGAGTTAGACATTAAGACCACTGGATGCCGGCCCACTGGTCCGGAGGTTAGGCGTTCGCGCGCAAGATCGAAGGTCCTGGGTTCGAATCCAGCGAGTAGCGGGAGTCGTGGATGCGCACTGCCACTGGTGAGTCCCATATCAGGACGAAACGGCAGTCCAGTGCTTCCAGGTTTCTAATGGTGTTCTAACAGTGATCGATTGATGATTTCAAATTGTTAAAATATTTGAAATTATTGCACAAAAAATGCTGAAGATTTATTTCTGACACAAAATATTCAGCATTTGCTAAAACTTTTAACAACAATGTAGTCTGAATGATAAGTGTAGTAAACAGTAATCAGAATTAAAATGAAAGCCTAACACAGCACATTTTGTCCACTGAAGAGATTGTAATGTTTTAATTTTAGGGTTTAAGACTTCCACGGTGTGAGCAGCCGGGAAGTAACATCTTCCCTCATACTCATAAAAGCACACAAGAACAAATTGGTCACAATCAAATCCTTTCTACACCTCTTAATAACTCTCTTATCTCCTCGACCAACGCTTCTTTCGATCGTTTATCATGTCATGCCCCTGAAGCAAACGGTATGATAATGACAACTGAATAATGGGGTAAGGCAACTTGAACTGATGTGCATACGTACACCGTTCTACGTTGTAACTGACCATTTAGGCTATAAGAAGTTATAAAAAATCACTTATAATAATCACAATAAGGGATTGATATTATATGTTTCTTGGTAAGAAAGCCTGCACCGACATTACGCTGTAATTGATGTGAAACATTTGGAAATACTGAAGCTATTTCATTATTATTATTATTATTATACTAATTTCCAAATCATAATTTACAATTGCCAATTGTTGCTACTTACAAGTAGTATACAGAATTTAGCAAAAAAACAGACAACCAATGAAAGTAGATTTCATTGCTAAATGAATCAAGTTAAGTTGAGGAAGAATTGATTTAAACTTGTAAAAAAACCCAACTAGTCCGAAGAAATAGTTGAAGTAATAATCTACAAGGTACACTGATATGTATGTAGTAGTATTGACTGACATATTTTATGTAGTCAGTAATAATTAATTAATTTCATTTTAAGCACATAGTTGTATATAGTATGAATTAGTCAAATTAAATTCCACTGAATATTCATCAGAAACAGTTAGTTTAGGCCCGTAAAATAAATTACTATAAGAATTGACAGATTGATTGTCATTTCATTGGACATCTTCTCTAGTTCTCTTGTGGTAACAGGATAATATACGTTGATAATGATTGGGGGAAGTTTGTCGATGACATGATGTGAAACCAGTAACGGTTGCACAGTTCTTTTCACTTTTTAGTTTGTTCCTGTTATCCTGAAGTTTAAGCCAACGTTTCATCTTTCTGTCGGATTTCTTCCACGAGAAAATCATAACCGACAGTTTGAGACTTTGAATGATATGGCTCAAAATCGTTTGCGATAGCGCAGCAGATGCATCCATTCTATCTCTTCTCTCAAATTCTAACCTTCTCTATTATTCATGACCATTATCTTTATGCTTCTGAATTTATTTCGATGAATTATACTTTTTGAATAATAGTTTCGTTTCCTAATCTTTTCCGTTACTCGTAATACTTCTACTACCTTTCCCACTATGGGATTTGAACTGACAATTACAATTCCGTGCTACATATGTGGTGGGGAAACTATGACTAATATACGAATGTACGAAGTTCTAGGGCGGCCAAATCAAAACATGGCAGAAATCCATGAAGTCACTGACAAATGGACTGAGTCATGTTGGTAGATGTAGGCTATCTGGTTAGGGTCCACGAGACGAAAGTCATCAATGGTTAGAGACCTTGAATTACATGGCTCAAAATCGTTTGCGATGGCGCAAGTGCATCGACTCTTTGTGTTCTCTCTAATTCTAACCTTCTGAATTCCTCATAATCTCTATCTTTTTCCTTCTAAATTTATCTTACTGTATTATACTTCACGAATCATATCTTCGCTCCCTAATCTTTTCCATTACTGCTAATACTTCTATTATCTCCACCACTATAGGATTTGAACTGACAGTTGCGTCTCTGTGCTGACGTGGTATGGCAACATGAACTGATGTACTTACGCAGGAAGTTCTGCGTTGTATCTCTCTGTGTGTACGAAGTTCTACGTTGTAGATGACTGATTAACCTATAACACTGGATGTTTTTATTTGAGCATTTTCGTGCACATCACTTAACTGATTTGTAACGTGTCTAGCTTATCTCTGTCTAAATACAAATAATTAGCTATGTATCATCAAATAAAGTTAGTTTACTCGCCTTCTCCACATTGATTTTGCCGCTTCTCATCCACATGTCCGTTTGTGTAAACGATCACTTAAAAAAATACATTTATCCAACACTAAATCCGTAATATCAATATCGCACAAATGCAGTTAGTTTAAGTCATAACATCCAGAAATTAAATGAGAGAGATTTATTTCACATACGAAAATAATTTAATCGTTCGTCCAAAATACAATCACATCTCAAG